TTGGGATGCTCAGTCGACGTTAAGGGCAATGTCGTCATCACTCAAACGAGGACTCGGTAAGCAGTCTGACGCACTGGCGTTGCGGCGTGAGATCAATCGACAACATGAGGTCGCCCTCACTATGGCCAAGGATTATCAGGCTGTAGAAAAGGAGCGAAGGGCTAAAAAGCATAATGATGCTCTGAGTCGACTGGAAAAAGCTGCTGTACCTCAACCAAGTGGAAACGAACACTCGGCGGAACCCCTAGAAGCTTCAGAAGAGATGGAAGATCCTGCAAGAGGATCACCGAGATCTCTTTTTAAATTGGGAGCCGGGCGTGGTTGTACATGGAACGCGTCAAACCGGGCTTGACGAAGAAATTAGCTCACCGATGGCATGGACCTTTTCGGATCAAGCGCAAGGTGGAAGAGTTTGCGTACGAGCTGGAACTGCCTGACCGAAGTGAGTATCGCTTCTACCCAGTAGTGCATGTGTCGAGACTCAAGGCTGTCAACGAGTTCAACAGTCGACCGAACACTCGGTTGGTACTAGACGCGACTAATGAAGCAAGACTCGACTTCGATGAGGAACTACTGCCTGAGGACAGCTGGGAACCAGATCAAGTTGCCGGTGAATATGAAGTCGAGGCCATCCTCGACGACAGAACACCACTGACGACGAGCACGGAGCGTGCTGTACGCGAGTTCAAAGTCAAGTGGGTTGGCTATGAAGATACAACTTGGGAACCATCATCAAACTTGTCATGTGGAGGTCTGCTGTACGACTATTTGCGAGCCAAGAAGAGCGAGAATCGGCTACAGATGGCGCAAGTGGCGGACGAAGACTAGCGTGACTGGATCACGTGTGAACCGTCCACAGGGCGATGCAGCCTGTGGTAACAGACGAAGAACGTTACGGCAACAACAAATTGTATATGCATTTGAAGAACAACATGAACATGATTACGCTGTGGAAGTGGATTAAGAATAAAAAAACATGAATGCCGACCGGAGAGCAACCACTGAAAACGAAGTCACGCGGGACACCTCAACAGTTAGCTGAGATGCTGGAGAACGTCGTGGAACGTGCAGCGAGGATTCAAATCGATTCCAAGTGCCTGGCCGCGGTGGCCAAGAGTGTCAACGAAGTCGAGTCACCACTCTCCTTCTCCTCTTCATCAGGAACCGGAGCCTCGGCAGCTGGAGCTGAAGCCGGACCCTGCGAATCCTCGGTACCAGCTTCAACAGGAGGAGCAGCAGGAGCCATCTCCGCGGATTCAGCGACGACGGGGAGTGCTGCAGGAGCTACCACAGGGAGTGAAGAGTCCGGGGCAGAGGGCGCCGGAGGACCGGTTGATGACGCTGCTGTCGGAGGAAGTGCAGCAGACTGAGGGGCGTTCGAACCCTCGGTCTTGCCCTCCTGAGAAACAAGTCGAGTAATGCGAGGTGATGAGCAAGGTACCGATGATTCAAGAGAAGGATGGGCTTACGTACCTCCAGCTGCTCACGCTCGCGACGTCTACGAGGATTGAGACGCTGAAACGCGTCGGACACGGCTCGATTCAGACGCTTGGACATACGGTGGCGAGATGGTGAATTGAAGAATGAAGAAATGTCACAACGGGCACCAGTACCGTGGCTTCCATTGCGACAGGGGCAGTTGTGGTGTAGTGATTTCTCCGTGGTTGCGGATTATCACCCGTCGACAAAGACGTGACACCGCCCAAGTTGTTCAAGCGACGAACCCTCGGTCGGGTGATGTACGGAGACGCCAAGGTGCAAGGGACTCGACGGCGTCACCTCCGAGTTTTCAACAAATATCGGATACGGCCCTATGTCACTGAATCCAGGCTGTCCTTATTATTAATAATGGACTGGCCGGATTCGCATTCAGCGGACCATCTACGGTACGAACCCTCAGTGGCGGTTGGGATGAGTTCGCGGAATACTCAGCGACCTTTGGAAGACACGTTAACCGTCTGGGACAGGGCGCGGACCGTTAAAGATGCTCATGCGACAGTGCAGACGACGCTTGGCATGCAAGAAGATCCATAACGGATCATTGTTCACTTGATATTTGTATACTTGATTAGGACTTCTTATTAGGAATAGACCCGAAAGGGTAAGCTTAAATACAGAACAGAATTTCCACTCAAGCACACAGAGCGACGTCCGGCTTCAAGGTAAGCGTCAGGTCAAGCTTGCTTGAGTGTGTTATGCCTGTCGGTGAACTCGAAGCTCTGTAGCGAGGATTCATCCGGCGAGGCCAAGAGACTTTGTGTATTGGCCGATTATTATCGGGAGGTTTTACGTGACGGCTTATTGTTGCCTATTTGCACGACTGGGAGTGCTTGAATTGCCTCCCTTTTATTTTCTTCCAGCCGAGTGTTGAACACTCGGTGATCTCGTAAAAGGCTTACCCGTGCCTGGTACCCTTCCGCTGTTGGGACCACGAGGATTCAAAACACCTGCTAGCTTTGCTCGTGCTAGTAGCGTGTTCTTATTTTACTGGTTGGCCTATATAAGTAGTTTACAAGGTCCAGTTTGTCCCGGTGCAAGGGCAGAACTGGGGTCTTCAGGTCCGCCCGAACGATCGTTTACTATCCTAGTAGACGTATTGTTGTGGGAACATCCTAACTACATCTGTAGCTAGAGTTCACGTGGGATTTCCAACACCACAATTGCATCATCTCGACTTGGCAACGGCGGAGGGTCAGCATCGGGCGGCCCGAGAGCATCGACTGCCCATGGAGTGGAGGACGACGTAGCCCCTGTAGACGCACCGGCACCAGGCACGATACTGCTGTCGCTCGATCCATCGAAGCCGCTAGTCGACATGACAGCAAAACTCTAAATGCTCACATGCTAGCCGATACGAATTCAAGTTGTCCATACAAATTATTGCAGTGCTTGCTCGTCCTCAGTATAAGGCTTTATTATAGACCAATACGATGTCCGTAGTGTATGAGGGCCTTCGCTTCTTATCTAGGCATTAGACCAAAGTCATAATTAGCACAGCGATCCTTCAAGCCTGCTACTCAATAGCCGACGACTAACAATGCAACTGTAACTTACCTATAATTAACCGACAAGATTGATATATTTCCTTCGCATTCTGTGCGCCATTATGAGGAGTACGAAGCCAGTCAGTTAGCATTGATCAAAAGCAGTAAAGAGACCGTACCTGTGCGTTAGCGTGCATGCCTCGTGAGCACGGCGTCCCAAGCAGCTTCACGCATATTTCCTTCTCCTGCGGCTGCCAACCCTCGATGTCCGTGGGCTCCTCGGGTCTTCTCTGGCCTTCGTCTTATCCAGCATTCTGTACAGACTAGGTGTAGTTATAAATGTGCATTTCCCGCCAAGTAATGCGCTTATAGCTTACCGACGGCGTGCGCCCCTGGTTACCTCGCTGCCTGCTCCGCTGCTTTGCTGTCTCCGTGACCAGTGAGGATGTCACTCAGTTGGCCCTCCGAAATAATTCAACCTATCCCTATAAGAGGTCAGTTTTACAAATCGGACCCCCTCAGAGATGCGTAGCTAAAACGGGCCGCAAAAAGGCTGAAAACCACAATAGAGGTCGTTTTATTAAATCGAGGTCTATAAAAATTACAAATCGATCGAGCTAGACAGTCAAAACATATTATGGAAACGCACGAATTTGTTCATAGAGAGAATACCACATCATTTTTCTGTGCTATAATAATGAACCAGGACTGTACATGTACCAAGCTAAAAATACTCAAGAAACAGTGTTCTTCCAGCGCGAGTTCTTACTAAGTGAATCACAAAATAACTAAAAGTTTTTTTAAGTGCCGTCCCTCTAAGAAGGTAGACACTTGTTGTTGTTAGTGAATTTGGTCGCCACAAAATATCCTTAGCCTGGGATGAATGCAAAGTGTATCGCTGCAACGGCGGTCTGAAAGCATAAAGCATTGCTCTCGTCACTCTGCTGGGTTTATCCTACCTGCACTTACCCCTCAGCTCACACGAATCAGTGTCAATTCGTTCAGACTCACACTGATTCCCCCTTGCTACATTTATTAAGTCAAATCAGTTTATGTATACTTCTTCAAGTTGCCATTTTCTACCGCATTCAATCACCACATTTCGATGACCAAAATCGAAGCGGAGCTCTTCGACGAATACGTCAGCCACTTCCGACGCCACTCCCGGAAGCGCGCTGCAGCCCTCAAGTGATGACGTCAACGGCGCCTTCCCTCACACCACCCGCCGCAGACTTCACGAAGCGCATCCTCGTGACCGGCGGCGCAGGATTCATCGGCTCGCACGTAGTCATCCACCTGGTCAAGTGCTACCCGCAGTACTACATTGTGAACCTGGACTCGCTCGACTATTGTTCATGTGTGCGCAACGTGCACTCGGCCATCTCATCGTGCGGCAGCGAGCACGAGCTACAGACTCGTGGCGATAACACCGAAGAGGACGACGTGGAGCGGGAGAAGGCGACAGAGAGCGAAGAGGACGAGGACGACGTCGGCCAGCGTCTCCGCGGGAGCTTCTGCGAGCCTGGAGACGAATATATCAGCGACGAGGTCTTGGCTACATTGCCCAATAACTACAAATTTATCCATGGCAACATCACCGGGGCAGACCTGGTGGGGTACATCCTCAAGACTGAGCGCATTGACACCATCATGCACTTTGCAGCTCAGTCTCATGTGGATAATTCCTTTGGCAACTCGATCGATTTCAGCAAAACGAATATTCTAGGCACGCATGTGTTATTGGAGGCAGCCAGACTGTACGGTATCAAGCGGTTTATCCATGTGAGCACGGACGAGGTGTACGGAGAGGGGAGACCCGACTCCGCCCGCATGACTGAGGACCATGTGCTGGAGCCTACCAATCCGTACGCGGCCACCAAAGCTGGTGCTGAATTCCTCGTCAAGAGTTTCCACCGTTCGTTCGGCCTCCCCACCATCATCACGAGGAGCAACAACGTGTACGGACCGCATCAGTATCCGGAGAAACTCGTGCCGAAAATTATCAACCAGATCTTACGTGACCGACCCGTGACGATCCACGGCGACGGCATGCACACACGCAATTACCTCTACATCTCCGACGTCGTGGCAGCCTTTGATCTCATCTTGCACGAAGGCAAAGTAGGCGAAGTCTACAATATCGGAGGTGAGAACGAGCTGTCCAATCGACTCGTGGCCATGGATCTGCTGGCAATGATGAAGCCACAACTTGTTGGTGCCGATAAGGCAATACTCATCACACACGTCCAGGACCGACCTTTTAACGACCACCGATACGTCATCGACTCTGCCAAGATCCGTCGTCTCGGCTGGAACGAGAAAGTGACGTGGCGCGAGGGTCTACGCAAGACCGTCAAGTGGTTCTGTCGCTACGGACACCGCTTCGATAACATCGACCACGCTCTTGAGGCTCACCCGATCAACTTCAAAAAAACATACAAGGTCAATTTACCGTAAAAAACATCTCTATGAGCACTTTGAGTGTTGCGTTGTACGTATACAAAAATGAACACAACAAAAGTAGAACTACATTGTCATAATGTTTTTTTCTCCAAAAAAATGTTTTGAACATGCTCAAAATTCAGCTAAACACAAGGTCGCGTTACAAAAGTTCATCTACTTTTAGTAGTACGAAACGACTAGAAAAACCTCTTCAATAACGAAGCCACAAACTCATGTTATTAGCGTTAGCTTGTCTTAACTTTTTGTGTGTTAGTAAGCTGTAGATCCTGCCATGTACTGTAGGTTGAAATGTTTTCCTTCTCGGCCATCATAAATAAAAAAGCGGCATTTCAGATCGGTCTCCCGATGTTGGTTCTCAGCTTCTGTTGCTGGCGCGTATCTCACAACACGCTGTGTGTGTTTTTTTTTCTCCTAGCAGAAATTTGCCACCTGCGCTCAGCTGTACCGTGCTCCTCGTCTTCCTGGGATTTCTCTGGGAGGTTCATAGTCTCCATGTATCTGGACAGGGTACGGTACATGTCCTCGAGTGTGGTGTCCGTGGTAAGTCTGGTGAAGTCTGTAATGGCTGTCTCTCACCTCCGGCGTACTGCCAGAGGACCAGGAACCTTGCGACAAGTTCGCGTGTGTGGACGAATGGTAACTCGAGTCCACCGTTCGCGGCGAGAAGGACGTCATGAGCGTCATATCCCACTTGGTCTGGTCTAAATGATAGCGTCGATGGTGTGCACACCACACACAGTCGGGCGACGAGCACTCGACGAACTCGACCAATGATCGGTTCGGTACAACAACCATTCGAGGAGGTTCGCGCTGTTCCACACGACGCATAATATAGAGGAAGGCTAAGCTCAAGAATAACCCTGGAACGAAATACTTGATGACACAAAAGCTCTGGAAGGTCAGAGAACTCCATGATTCTTCAAGCCCAGAGAGGAAAACAGGCACGTCCATGATCATCTGCAGTGTCACTGACGCAGTGAGGAGCGCCATAAGCAGCGTCATCTGCACCACGGACTTCTTCTTCATATCGTCGGCCATAGCAGCCGACAGCAGTCGTTCTCGTAGCTGCACAGCCACGTAACACGCCACAACTGCGTCAAAAGCAAGTGTGGCGATGTTGATACTTCGATAAGTTATTAGAAGAGCATGGGCGTCTTCTGGGTAGTCCTCCATCTCACTGGAGGTGCTTAATCCGTGTGTCATCACATGGATCCCCATAAAAATAGTCCAGATTAAGTGGACCGAGTGGAGGAACACAAGTGGATGCAGTACGGTGATACGCTTGGATCTCTGAAGCTCCTGAGCGGTCACGCGTCCGGCTGTCACGGCGCTGGACCACTGGAAGATCACTGCCGCTGTGCACAGCAACACCATCGAGTTGGACCACCACATACACGCCATTCCGAAGGCTAGGACGGACGAGTTGCACATTCCCAGCCAGAAGATCAGACGCAACACACACGACAACAAGAGCACCTATAAAAGATCACATTAGGTTAGAATAAAGAATTCCAGCTATGAATATACTTTTTTTTCTTTAACGTACAATGTGGAGAAAAATGCGACGTGGATGTGAGCTCCAGTAGATCTGATGAAAGGTGCGCCAGAGGATCACGCCTACGAGCACAGTCTCCAGTAGCATGAGCGGCAACAGCGACCAGCTGACGCAGCGCAGCGTCGATGTCGGGTCCAGCCACACCATCAGATGGTAGTTTCCAAAATGGTTGAGAGTCTCAAAAAGCGGTTTTGCGTCTGCCTGTCTGCCAAAAGGTCCACGCGGTTTTTTTTGGCTCCCAAGACGACGGTACTATCCGATAACGAGAAATGCTACGGAGGTTGGATGCGAGTTGCCTGCTGGACTCGACTTGACTGGACTTGGGCAGGTGCGACGACTGTCGTGGAATGGAGCGGTCGGTCGTTGGGTCACTCGCTGTATTTCCGTTTTTTTAGACCCAAAGATTGGCTTGGGAGGTGGCTGGCGATTTGCCGTTTCAAAAAGAGATGCAACAGCTTGTGTGACCGACTGAGTCTTAGTGAAAGTGAGTGGATGGAAGACGAGAGCGGGTTCTTCCTGTAGCAAGACTGTAGCGATAGCGGGGCGCAAGCTTTGGGCTTGTCTTTCACCTCTCGACCGGCAAAGCTAGGTAAACGACTTGCGGCAACTTTAAACATAGTTACTTACGCTCGATGTCCACCGGCCAGATTTATAGCTTGTATCCGATCGCTCTTCACTGAAGAGTCTTCAGCATGGTGAGCCAGAGTGGCAGAGCCTTCGCTCTGTGTCACACTCCCAGAGTTGATGATCAATAGCCACGGTTCCAGGGTTTTTGTCCTTTCGAGCCTTGAGAAACGTTCACAAATGGACAAATTCGGCAAACTGCAAGCACAGCAAGATGCAGTACAGTATGGGTCCATGCGAGATGGCGATGCTGGCGGTGGCACTGCCAGTCTAGCAGAGCATTTCTGCGATGTTTTAGAGACAGTAAAACGGTGACATGCAAGCAGCATCAGCTTGCAAAGCTCAAGATAAAGATAAAGATCTACCAAAACGCTAGCAAAATATTGTGCACAAAATGGATTTATTCTATATCCTCATTGCCGTTAAAATTCTATGCGTCAATCATTTGCTTCAACCTTAAAAAATTCCGTCAAAATATCGCTTCTCACCACCTCTATCTTTATATATATCGAACACAACACATGCTAGAAACTTCGAATGCGCTCCATGGAACGACCTAGAAAATAGTCCTCCCCAAAAGATGTGCGCCACACCATCTTCAACTTCAATCGGAGCAAAAATCTGCATTCAGTACCATGGGTCACTTCCGGCGCTATCTAGCGCTCGTCCTGGCCTCCCTCACTCTTTCTCTAGCCCCCGTATACGCTCTCGATTGTGTCGTTCTCGTTCATCTCCACCCACAGATCAACCCGCGCGAATTTTTCTTTTCTCCGCAGCTCTTACGCTCCGAGAGACGCCAAAACGTGTATCAGACCTTCTCCAGCGCCGTGGAAGACGTGCAACGCAGCGTATCCAGCTTTATCACCGCTCAAAATGAAGAGAAGATCGAAATCTCTCGTCTCTGGCTGCAAAACACCCTGATAGTTCGCTACAAAGAGGAAAATCAGGGGCTGAACAGGCTCTTCAGTCGAGAACTTTGGTCGTTCCCAGGCGTGTTGGAAGTAGAGGAAGATACGCGAGTTCTGAGACTCATTGGAGCTCAACAGGAAGACGACATACGGAAAGAGGATAGAGAAAAGCCTCAGACTAATATAGAGTTGCTACATGCCCCTCAATTGTGGGCCAAAGGAGCTACAGGGAAGAACGTGGTCGTCGCGAGCATCGACTCAGGCGTTCGGTACACGCATGAGGCCTTGCGAGCGACGTTTAGAGGCACGAAGAAGGACGGGACCGTGGATTTTGACTACTCGTTCTGGTTCACACCGGGCACAGACATGTCGAAGGAAACGCCGGATACAGCGGACGAAGTGGGTCACGGGACGCACACTATGGGTACAGCCGTCGGTGACAAGGGCGTCGGTGTAGCTCCGGACGCGACGTGGATCACGGCACGAGCGTTTGATATCTGGGGTGCCGCCAATAAGAGCGACTTTTTACTAGCAGCACAATGGGTGCTCTGTCCCACAAAGAGAGATGGCACGGGTGCAGACTGCACTCTAGGCGCAGATGTCATCACGAACTCGTTTGGCGTGGACCGCTCCACTCCCGTGTATCCACAGTGGACGTGGCTGAGTAAAGTGATCGATACGTGGCGTGCCGCCGGTGTCTATCCGGTATTCGCCAGTGGGAACACCAATGGGTTTCTGTGTGGCAGTGTGTATTACCCTGGAAGCCATGAAGATACTATTGCTGTTGGCGCTCTGATTGGAGGCAGTTCACTATGGGGAGCAAGTGGGAAGGGACCAAGCTTGGAGACAGCATTGGCGTCGTCTTCAAGAGACAAGTACGTTATTAAGCCTGACTTTGTAGCTCCGGGAGTTGGGATCCGGTCGACTATGAGTGTCAAGGACAACGCCTACACTCGACTCACGGGCACTTCGATGGCGACTCCGCATATTGCTGGTGCTATCGCTCTTCTTCTCAGTTTGTATAACTCGTCGGAGGAGAATTCGCCATCGTACGAGAAGGTTCTGCAGAGTCTCACTGACACGACCACACGTAAACTTCACAAACCGTTCCTTGTTCCCAGTGAGTGTGGGAATACCTCCTATCAAGAATACCCCAACAATATTTACGGATGGGGTCTGGTGAACGTTTGCTCAGCGGCGAAACACTTGGGTTTTGTATGTGAAGACTCGGCTCTCACAGGAGAAGTTGCTACCGAGTTTGTGGCAACCGAGTGATCAACAACTTTTTTTTTTTACTTTTTATCTTGGCTTGGGTATCTATTACATGTACCGTCATAAAAATACGTAAGTCTCCTAAGGCGGCCTATCTCTGTATCAAAAACGATTGATGCTCTTATTTATCGGCAACGTATGTTTGCAAACGGCAAGAGGGTGGAGCAGGAGCATTGAAGGAGTTTTTAGAGCTAAAAGTCCTGTTGGGATTAATTAGACGAGTACTACGTATTACTTGATAGGAATTGTCATTGTATGTGTAGTCTGTACAACTCGACGTATTGCGTAAAGGCCACTCACAATACACATGTAGATGCCATGAAAAATCAGCAAACGAGACTTCTCGACAACGGCTTCGGCCACGGAAATGACGCTGTTTTAATGTGCCGTTGCGTGTGTTGGTTGAAGCATTCACAGAGGAACCGCTCCGAGTTATTTTGTGTACAATCTTGAAGTCAGAAAGTCGAACAACTACTAGAATGTTACCGAGAAGGTTGCGCACATTGAGGGCACAGATGCAGGCTGCAATCGCGCGGCAGCAGACTACACATTCCTAGGCTCGATAGAGCACTAACCAGACTGTAACGAAAGAGTCGGGTGCGCTTTTGTCTCGCTGTACCCATGTCATTGCACACTTTAAAGGAACTACTTCAACAAACCGACCAATCAAATCGCTTTCTATGGATTTGCGTTTGACTTAACCTCGCAGTTCTTGTTGCAGCGAGTGTTATCCCAGATGTGACTATTGCCGGCCTTATCTTCCACTTTCCACGTCACGTCCATGACACATGTGAAAATTTCCTTTGCGGTGCAAAACTTCATTTCCATAATTCCTCGAGCCTTCCAGCGTTGCAGGTGTACTGCAATGATTGCTGCGTGGCGCTGTCACCGCACCGCATGCATCGGAACTGTCTTCAAGGGCACAGCGCGACGTCACTAGCGACTCGTCTTATCGGTCTTCGGGCTCACCATTATCCAAAACCTCCGCTGGTACACAAGCAGCAATTCTAACAAGAAGCTTTATCAAGCTACAATGGGACGGAATCGTCACCACCAAACGCGCGCCACTCACTACGACCAGCGACCGACTCGTGATGCCAATGAATATGACGAGTCCAAGCGCCGCAAGATGATCCGCTGGATTAAGTCACGCTTCGGCTACGTTGAACCGGAACTTCATTTGCGTCCGCAAGACCGCAACAGCTTGAGCAAAAGTGGCCGCTCCGGCGGCAATAGCAGCTTCTCTGTTCCGTACGGTAACCTGCAATACACACCGTCGTACCGTATGGACTACCATACCCATGTACTCATCGTCGGTGGTGGAATTGGTGGACTATGTCTCGCTCAAGGCTTGAAGAAACACGGCATCCCATTCACCGTATTCGAGCGAGACCCGTCTCCCAATTATCGCACGCAGGGTTATCGCGTTCGTATCAACCACGACGGATACGAAGCATTAAAGACTAACCTCTCATCTGAGAACTTTGAGGTGTTTCTTCGAGCTACGGGTCATTTCCAGCCCGGATTCAAGTACCTCGACGCCGAGACGGGCGAAGATGCACCGCCGAATGCCCAATTCGCACACAAATCTAACGTCACAAAGAACGTCTTTAGTGCCGATCGCGCTATGCTGCGATCGTTATTGCTCACGGATCTCAATGACAATGAGATCCAGTACGGGATGGCTTTCAAAAGCTTCCACGTTCAGCCTAACGGACGTGTTGAGGTCACATTTGAGAGCGGTAAGATTGTAGAGGGCAGTGTTCTTGTCGGAGCTGATGGCACCACGTCGCGTGTGCGTCGACAATATGTGCCTGGTGCAGCGACGCTACTTGACACTGACAGTGGTGCCATTTACGGCAAAACCTTATTAACCCCTGAGATCGAAAACTTCTTCGAAACAGACAGCACCACGATGGTTGTCAGTAAAAATCCTATGATGAGTCTCGTCATGGAACCGCGTTGTAAGATCCAAGCAGATCTTAAGGAGTTCGCTGCAATCTCAAACTCCGAGCTACCAGATCTACAGAACTACATTTGCTGGGTTCTTATCGCTCGTGCACAGCATTTCCACCGGAACGAAGACACTACAGTCCAAGATCTCTTCTCTATGACGCCGACACAAGTTGCCAACTTGTCCAACGACATGACACGCGACTGGTGTCCTCAAATTCGGACTATTTTTGAGAATCAATCGCCCGAGTGGAGTTCTTTCCTGCGTATCTCGACTATGTCTCCGGAGATCCGCCACTGGCAGCCGTCGACCGTCACGCTCATTGGAGATGCAGTACACACGATGGCTCCTGCAGGAATCGGCTGCAACACTGCACTACATGATGCACAAATGCTGACTAAGTATTTCGACGAGATGGGGGTTGGGGTGGATGCAATTGCACAATACGAGCTCAACATGCGTCAGTACGGCTCTGAGGGCATCTCGATTAGCATGGATGCCGGAAAAATGATGTACAACCTCCCAGAAGTGGAGGATATGCACGCAGTAGTGTACTGAGGCTGCCTCATACTTACCTCTAGTGACATTTGTCGTGAATCCTCCACGATTAATAACTGACCAGAAAGTTTGATTGGTCGGATTGTTCTACGTACTACATACATGTACATGAAGTTTTCCGCATTACACAAGCCAAGCAAGGCGAGTGTATTTCTGTTTAGTATATTGCCTTAAGTTGCGCGAGATCAGCAAACGACAACTTCGCGTTCAATGTAACAACACTACATTTCTACCAAAAATCATCGCTGCTAGTCTAGAAGAGCTTGCTCACAGCGTCACGCACGCTCGCGTCGTCGGCCTCGTTAGCCAGCGTCACCGTCAGCTGCAATACCACAAAGATACACACACATTAAAATCTAACGCTTCCAAAGTCTCAAGCTCGTAACCAAACAAACGTACCAAAGGGTCCGCCTTCATCTCGCGCTCAATAGCGAAGCGCGCGTTGGCGTTGCGCGCCCACGCACGACGTGCCACGCCGTTGTTGACGTCCCAGCCGAGCATGCACGCCGCCTTCTCGCGCGCGTCATCCGAGCCGTCCAGTACCATTCCGAAGCCACCGTTCATGACCTCGCCCCAGCCGACACCGCCGCCGTTGTGCAGTGCGATCCACGTAGCTCCGCGAGCGGCGTCGCCCAGCGCGTTCTGCACCGCCATATCGGCACAGAAAGCCGAGCCGTCCGTCACATTCGACGTCTCACGGAACGGACTGTCGGTGCCGCTGACGTCGTGGTGGTCGCGGCTGAGCACGACGGGTGCCGAGAGCTCGCCGCTAGCCACAGCGGCGTTGAACGCCATGGCGATCGTGCCGCGACCCACACGGTCAGCGTACAGGATACGCGCCTCCGATCCCACGACCAGTTTGTTCTCCTCTGCAGCCTCAATCCAGCGCAAGTTGTCACGCAGCTGAGCCGCGACCCGGTCCGGCACTTCCGGTTCGGCCAGCAGCTCGCGCATCACACGGGCAGCAATGGCGTCTGTCTTCTGCAGGTCCGCGTGGTCACCCGACGTACAGACCCAGCGGAACGGACCGAAACCAAGCGAGAAAATGTCGCCCATGATGTCCTGAACGTAACTAGGGTACTTAAAGGCAGTAGTCGAGACAGCAGCCTCCTCGGGCTTAACACCGGGACGCAACACGTCCGCGCCGGCACGTTGTGCCTCCAATAGGAACGAGTTACCGTAGTCCCAGAACCGCATGCCCTTGGCTGTCAGACGGTTGATAGCGACAGCGTGACGACGCAGAGACTCCTGTACCAGTTCCTGGAAGCGCTCCGGGTCTTCAGCCATGACGCGCTGAGACTCCTCGAACGACAACTGGACCGGGTAGTAGCCGCCGTTGAACGGGTTGTGTAGGGAAGTCTGGTCCGAGCCGAGCTCCACGAGCAGCTCGCCCGTAGCTTCAGCCTCGTCGGCGAGACGTTCCCAAAGAGTGACGACGTTGCCGTGGTACGCCAAGCTCACCACCTCGCCCTTGGCTTTTGCCTCACGGATACGAACGACACAGGCGTCCAGGTCGCTCACGACCTCGTCAACCCAGCCCTGTTCGTGACGCTTCTTCACTGCAGATTCGTCGATCTCTGCAGTGACGGAGATGACACCGGAGATGACGC